TACACAGAGCATTAAGCAAGTTTCGTCCTAAATCTACTTCAGTTCTCAATTACACTTTTAAAAATGACAATTGGAAACCCTGTTTATTATTTGAACATCTTTGCTTCAACACATTACCCCATGAAATGTTGGCTTGTGGTCATTTCACATATATTGAGCAAAACAACCCAATTAGTATCAGTCACAACAAAACCTTCCATTTGCTATGCATTATAGCTTGCCTAAAGTCACATAGTAAGTGATAGAGGGAGACCAGAATCCAAAGCCTCACTTATCGCAGGCAACTTTTTACCTTGATGTACCACAGAATTTCAAAAAATGGACTAAGGATCCCAAATAACTCATTTTTTAGTTTCTGTAGGTTTTTAGACTTCATTAACTTTGGGTTAATGAATCATATGGAAACTTCCCGATCCATTATTGAAGTAATTATGAAGGCACCCAAATGACTCATTTTTTTAGTTTCTTTAGGTTTTTAGACTTCATTAACTTTGGGTTCTGAATCATATGGAAACTTCCCGATCCATTATTGAAGTAATTATGAAGGCATCCAATACCATCTGTAAAAGCCAAGACATTCCAACTCTAGGATGCATGATTTACATAAAAGACAGTATGAATTGTGCCCTTGGAGTTGTACAAAGCAGTATTCTTGCTCAAGTGAGTGAAGCAAACGTGTGAGAAAATGCCATGCACTATGGAAATACAGGATGTTCTGAATCATTAGGAAGTGCTGGCCATTCAGAGTTTTAGGATGAGGGAGACTATTTTATAGCATGAGAACCAACTTTGCTTGGGGAAATAGGTCCCATTGCTTAGGCACACTTGGTTTCCCCCAATGTCTGTTGTCTTAATGTTTGCTTTGTGCTGTTTAAAGAGGCATTATCACCCTTCTCATTCAATGCAACTAGTCATTTCTCCTACAAGTCAAACAGCATTTGTTGAAGCTGCAGAGAGCAAAGCCAATACCATTTGTCTAATTAATTACCTCTGAAGCTTTTATGAAAAGCTATCACTGAGCCTATAGCAGGTAATAATGAACAAACTTGATGATTAACCTCCCCTCTTTGTTTCTACAACTGAGCTCAAGGTAGTGTGACCAAGCTTTCATGGTAATCAGGAAGATTCTGAGAGAATCCAAATGTGACCATCTGGAAGAGAAGAAAATACACCATGTGGAGAGACAAGGACTGCCACTCCTGGAGTAGAAAAGGGAGATTTTCTTTTCATCTTTGGGGAAATCCTATTTATGTAGCATTAATACCCTGTATCCCATCCTGGAAGAGGTTAATTGGAGGCACCTCCTCGTGGGTGCCAAATGTTAGAAGACTTTACAGGCTTCCTGGTAGCAGAAACTAATCAATAAAGCCCAGTCTTTCCCTACAGAGAGTAGCAGCCGTGCCCTTAATCTACCTTAATTCATCACCAGGAGAAGGGCAGGTGTCTGGCTTACGTATTACATAACATTTTCCTTGGTGGGCAAAAAAGCCACTGTAATCAGATGTGTACATAACCTGGATGTGACCTGCTAAGAAAATGATAAACAGAAGGGGCCAAGACAACCCACAACAAAGCGTGGCCAGGAAAAGGGAGTCTCAGGGAACCCTGGAGCAGCCTTTGTGCTTTGTAGATGATGTGGGTAAATACAGCTCATCTTGCAAGTTCAGGGTTACTTCAAAACACTGCTCAGATACCATCGTCACCCCTGCATGGTGTGCACTGTTCTTTTCCCTCCAGGCTGTGTTCGTGCTCACCCTAAGAGTCATAGACAGCTCCCACGTGTGCACCTGGCCAAAGGCACAGAGAGGAAGTTCCACACGTAGCCATCCTGTCTGCCAACCAGCCCACATGTGCAATGGAAATGGTTATTGTTTGCCTCTATAATAAAATCACTGAATCAATTTTGTAGAGCTCTGAATCAGCCTCATAAGTGTCACCAGGCAACTCCTCCAGGAAAGGTTGGGGGATAGTGAGGTACAAAACTCCAGGGACACAGAAGAGGACCACAGTGTGTCTCTTGCAAAGGCCTAGCACTGGAAATGCTATGAAGTCAAAAACTTTGTGCTGACCATGAAATCCAATCAATATAATGCAAAACTCAATAAAACTACAGAACCCTGCCACTTGTAGCAACCAATTCTTCCACTGCACTGTGGAGTTCCCCTCGAAGACACTGTAAAAATCACTGTCAAGGTCATGGGCCAGAAAAGGAGACAAAACTATAAAAAAAATAACATCTGTTGCTTATAGTGGTTTAGCTGTCATGTGGTGGCTGCCATAAGAGGACTGTTAATCTGCATCTTTCAATCAAATTACACTTCCGAAAAGCTCATGCTGGCTAAGCAACCAGCTGACTGGACTAAGACTGCCTCAAGGATACGGAAGGTCAGATTCAGGTTTTGGGGCACCTGAAGCTTATTCAAGTTGGGGGCCTTATTCAAGGAAAAGAATACAAAATTTCAAATTCAAAATTGCTAAGAACCTCCCAAGGTCTTATAAGGGGCCTGAACAAGTGAGGGGCCCTTAAACTCATGTCCCCAAACTTTGTTGAACATTAGAACCACTTGGGGAGCTTTAAAAACTCCTGATGCCAAGTTTGTGGCTCATACTAATTAAATCAGAATGTCTGGGAACCAGGCATCAGTATTTTCAAAGACCCCTGGGTGATTCTAATGTGATCAAAGTGTGGGGACCACTGCCTTAAGCTTAAGCTTTATTAGCTTCAGGGAAGTCCGCCTCTGGAGTGGGAGCATAGTTTTCATTCATTTATTTAACTAACATTTGCGGAGCAATTGTCATCTGCCAAGCACTGTATCCCCAGTATTTAGCGGTGTGCCTGACAAGTAGCTGGCAACCAGCAAATGCTTGCTGAATGTATAAATGAACACCAGGTAGCCAGGGTCTCCTGTTTTACATTGGAGACTGGTTGTGGACTGGACTTGGAATTCTCCAGTTTATCTTTCCCTTTGGATGTGTCAGCATTTTAAAGAAATACTCGGGGTTTACCCCAAGATACAGATGCTTCATGGTTCCACTATACACAGTAGGTGATCCCTGTGAATTCTGGGTAGAAAGGAAATCAGTTAGCAAGCCTCTCAAAATGTAATGAAATCTCTTTTTTATGTATTGTCCTCCTCTTTGTTTTCTTGGAAGTGGCTTTATGTATGTGGAGGAACACTGACTATATCTGACTGCAGAGATTACAAAAGAAACCCATGAGGGTTCTCACTTAGCTACCATACCTTCGGCAACTTCATCTCCTCCTACTCTTTCACCATGTTGCAGGGTCTCAAAATTCAATGTGGAGAGAAAGGTAAGTTTCATTTCACCCATAACAAATCTGATGTTTCTCTGGAGCCCCTATCAGTTAGTAGCAGGAAAATGAATAGCCCAAAGATCCAATTCAGTTTAAATTTACTCTGATCCAATAATTTAAATAGACCTTTTAAGAATTTCCTAGTCTTTAATTTTAAAAAAAGGTTTAGTGTCTTAAATTGCTCCCTTCTAAAATAGTATTTAAGTGTATGAAGGAGAGGTGTATTTATGAGACCTCGTAGGTGTAAAGAGGATTATGTCCTTTCCAACTCTGGTCTCTCAGGTTCTGAAATGTGGCTGCTTCCCTGTTGTTTGAGGCTGTGTCCTACAGCTAACATAAATTCAGGATTTTTCTTTTTTGGCTTGGTTGAGGCTCCACAGTGCTCCCTGAGTGACGAGGCCTCATTGCAGTTCCCACTGGTAACAAACTCTTGAGTCTCTCACATACACATCATTCCTCCAGCCTCCTGAACCAGTGCTTCCCCTCCACTCCAGCCTCTGCTGTGGCATCACTGTGCCCTGCTATGGCAGGCTTGTTGGCATGTCCACTAGCTCTCAATTCAGAATTGATATAGAATGGGAACTTCAGGAAGCACAGGAAAGTTAAAACTCAGAGCCTCTCTCTGCAGGTGGGACATGACCAAGGTCTAGGTTGGAATGGGAGCAGCCTGTGAGATGATTTGCTTGTAAAATCCCACAGGAGGATGGGGGCAGGCATTTATCTGGTGCCTTTCATTGTCATGGAGGGTGGGCAATGGTGGAAGGATGCTGTTGGGCCACATATAAACTGCAGGGAGATATCCAACCACAAAAGGACTTATATATCTCTTACAGTTGTGTATGCCTCAAGAGAGCCCCAAATCTCCAGCTATTAATAGCATGTAAACTGGAGGAGTGAAAGTACATCACTTCAGGGGATGTGACATGGACCTTGAACTTATAGAAACCAATGGAATGAACAGCTATTAACTAGCTCCCTTGTTTTCCTTCTACCTTGAATTATTACCTCTTTAGTCCCACTAGCTGAGCACAATGCTTAACATGATGGGCTTCAATCACAACATATTGTGGAATGAATGAATGAGAAGTGTTTATCTACAATTCAGTTTCTCTGTTACTGGTTCAGTAAACTTCAACAAAGCACTTAGTGATCGCATACTGGAAGTTTATCTCTGACCGAAGATATGACACTCAATAGAACATGTGTTCTATGAACATCCCAATTCTCCCACGGAGGACCAAACCCTGTGTACGCTGAAACTCTCCCACGGTCCAAGACCAACCTTACAGAAATCAGCACTAGAGTATAGTGCTGATTCAACATTATAGTTTAAAAGTGATAGTAGGAGCTTAAAAAGAAAAAAATTGAGCTCAAACTTCAAAGCCAGAAAAGAAATAGATTTTAACCAAAGATAAGTATTTCCCAAACTCCAGGATGTAGCAAATAAGCTCACAGTGGCACCTATGTAGCAGAAACAGACACAAATAAAAATCACTAGACCAATCTAATTCTTCTGATGACAATCACCATCAACTACAAAACCCCCTTTTCTGCTCATTTCCAGGACCAGAAATCCACGGCTGCATAGGACAACCCTCCACATGTACTCTGGGTCTGCTACCCAGTGTTTCTGTTCTGTTTGGAATTATTTAGGCAACATCTATACCCTTCTTCCCGTGCCTACCTCTTCTCCACCATCCAACTGCTTTCTTCTGGTTCTTTTCATCTAGAATTGCAAAAGAAAATAGACATTTTTGCTCCCACTGGTAACAAACCCTCGAATCTCTTTCTCATCATTTCTCTGGATGAGAGGCTTAGAGGGGAAATGAGAGAGGAAGAATTTTTTTTTTCCTTTTTCAATTAACTTCCATTTCTTTCAAGTCTGAGTAAACTCTGGGCCCAGAGCAACCAGGATGATATGATTATGGAAACTATTAATCTCTCCATCAAAGGAGAGCCAGCTCATGGTTACGGAGCAATTGGCACGTTCCTCCAAAGGGCTTCTGCAGCATGATCCTCCTGGTTTCTCTTGGGGTCACAAGTGCCCAAGGTACACTTTTTAAGTAGGCCACTTCCTAAAAAGCAAAATGATCTTGAACACTTTGTGAGTTGTTCTGGGAAATTGTGTGTTTTCCCTCAATTGCTCTAAAGAAATAGCCAATACACCTTAAAGCATGTTCAAATAGAAAAAAAATCTAACGTTTTCAGATCACTCAAGTCTCATCTGAAATGATAAAATTTGGGATCTTTAAAGACTAGTCAGATGACACTTGATATCTGATATGGGCAACAAACGGGTGTATGTGAAGTAAGAAGTCTCCAAATTGCTTTGAATATTTAATACTGTAATCCTAGAAATTATAATAATTTCTAGAGATCGTTTAGGAAAAACTGTAGAACAGTTATCTAGTTTGCACAAACCTAAAACAAACATAAAAATAAATTAGAGAATTTAATGTAGAAATTTTGTCCCAGGGTCTGTAACATCAACAGACTTTTTTTCCTCCAATGATGATAACAGTACAGACTTCTCTGTAATGGGGGTAGGGGACAATTAAAGGGTTTGGGAGGTTCCTCCAGAATTGCTTGATGATTGGCCAAGTGAATGCTTGCTTCTGGGTACAGCTACAAAAAGTCCAAAAACAGCTGCATTTCAAAGAAAGCACACTCATGGATTTATAAATGTCACCAACCTTTCCAAATACAGACCCAAGGAAGAGTGAATTTCCAGAGATGCCAAATTCCTCAAATGGCATGGAGTTAATAAGCACCACTCAAAATAAAACTACATGAACCTATGTTGAGTGACATAATAAAGCCATGGTACATGCATTCACTTCAATTGTGGACTATGATTACATACACAATCCCCACCCACCCACTGTGCTTTCAATGTATACTTCTTCTGGAAGCAAGCCCATACTTCAGGAAGTCAAATTCCTTCAGGAAACTACAGAAAGCCTCTTTGTTCTTTCTTCCCACTATCCCATTGTTAGAGTCTGCATGAGCACTGGGCCTGAGCAGGAAGGTGTCAACTTCTGTGAAGGGACTGTTCCCAAAACTTCAGTTTCTCATGTAATCATATAAACTTTGAAAGGTAAGAGGGAAAACCCATAAAGGTCATTATAAACAGATCCCATGATGTCAAAGGAAAAACAGCTGGAGAAAGGGAGTTTAATAAGCAGCCTTCTTTTATTATAATAGGCTTGACGTCATTGATTATTTATTATATCCAATGCTAAAACACAAAGCCATGTGCTACATTATGGACCACGATGAAAAGGATATGTGGACTTTTCCTGAGTATTTTAATATCCTCTTATTGACAGTAGATAGAAGATCTGAACAAGGACTAGGAACAGGAAATGATTTTAGTGATTTCATTATAGTAACAGAGAAAAGCATTTCCAATGACAGCGGTGGGCAGATGGTCTGGTAAGGCTTCAACCTCTAAACAGCCTGCACGTCAACAAGCTCAATATTGATACAAGCTCAGTATGTAATTAATGAGGTGTCCTAGCAAGCAAAAAAGTTTTTATAAATATGGGCTGTAACCTTAGCAGTGGAACACAGGAAGCCAGTGTTTAAAAGTTAATTTAAAACCATTTGACAAGAGAAGGTATATAGAGGGAGCAAGAATCAAGCATGGTACATCTTCACTTAGTTTAGCTCTAGGGAAAAATTAACATGGTTGTAGAATTTTCAGATTTTTGAGACTTTTCGGATCTCTTTCAAAAAATCTTAACAAGTTATCAGCCAATTCATTTTAACAAACACCAAACATCATCTTGGTGAGGAAACAGATTTCCCTGAAACAAAACACTAGTGTTTGGAAGCTCCTTAATATGTGAGAATTTACAGATCTTTACAATTTCCAAAGTGCTTTCAGTGATCTCATTTAATTTTTAAAATAATCCTGTAAGGTAGGCAGTTTAACACCATCAATTCTATTTTCTGGTGAGGATGCTCATAAAGGCTAAGTGCTTTGATCAAGGTCATACTGATCCTTGACCAATGGTTTTTCCTTTCCTTTTCACCATTAATCTATTTCTGTTCAATATTCTATATATTTTAACACAATCGAAATCATGTCATATACAATATATTGTCTTTTTTAAAAAATTTGCTTTACACTATGCCATAACTGCTTAAACATGGGTGTGAAATCTATGATCCCTAAAGGAAGCCCTGTATGTAGAAAGTTATGATTTTGAGAGTCCAACATTGATCCATCACACAGAGCTGTTTCTCCTGAGCCCCAGGTGAAGAGGTCACTTTCAAAGGTGAGAATGGTGGATTTGGAGTACAATTTCTCAATATTCTATTTCCTTGTGAACCCAGTCACTTATAAGCTGTAAACCTCTCCCAATTTAGTCCAATGTCTCCTTGTACAACCCCTATTTCTCTTGTTGATGTCATTAATCTTTTAAATGCTTGTGCTCCTTGGGGTTTGTCCTAAATCCTAATCTGTATCTCTAGCCCCACTCTCTCATTAGAGCTCCAGGTCCATATGAAACTGGACATTTCCGTTTGGATGTCCAACAGGTACTTATAGCTCAACATATTAAAAATTGAACACATCTTCGAGCCATCTCCCATACCTGCAACTTCTTCTGGGTTATGTCCCTACCACAGTGAATCATGCTATTCAGTTGCCCAAGTCAGAAGTCTGGAATTGACACCTCACTCTCCCTTACCTCAATCAATGAGCAAGTCCTGTTGATTCTACTGCTAAACCTCTCTGCATCAATTTCCTCCTCCTTCAGAAGGTTTCCAGTATGATCATGACACTGTAAGAGCTTCTCACTGCCTCCACGGTCACACTCAGCGTGGTGCTATGCCACTGAGAACTGGAGTGTCCTTGCCACTGTACTTTACACAAAAGCATCCGCCTTAGCCCTGTGGTTTAGATCTCAAGGGCCCACAAGCAATAAATCAGTTGGCTCTTCAGAACTTTATGCCATAGATGGCTTGTGTCCCATCCAGAATTGGGGACTTTCATTACCCTGGCTCCTACCCTTCAGTAACCCCATAGACATTTTCATATTTTCTTGGTCTGTCACTTGTACTCCCATTCCTGACACCATTTTCTATATTAATTAAGAATGGGAATGCAAATGACTCTATCTCAAGTGGAATTTATTATATTTAATAAATTAATTATAGGGATTTAGGGATAGCTCACAGACATCCAAGGCACAAATTATTGCTGGGACCCATAAGAGACTATAATATGAAATTGGAAAGCAGCTGAGCATTAAGACAACAGCTTCTTTCTCATGCTGTTTCAGTAACTTATTACTTCGATAATGCTATGTAACAAACCACTCCAAAATTCAATGACTCAAAACAATAAACATTTAGTTATTGCTCACAGGTCTGTAGGTTGGCTGCAACTCAGCTAGGTTAGGCTGAGTTAGGTTTGCTCCATGTGCTTCTCACCGTCCATGGACCAATGGCTATCCAGGGCATGGTCTTCTCAAGGTGAATGACAGCAGCACAAGCAAACTGCATGAGCACATTGCAGTACTCTGCTTGCATCAGCTCCATTAACATTCTATTGACCAAAGTGAGTGACTTGGCCAAGCTCAAAGCCAAGAGACATGCAAGTACACTCCCATCCACTCAGAAGCCATGGGAAAGACACAGATACATACAGGTGAAGAACTGAGAACAATCATCCAATCTGCTATAGGATGCATGACCTCTTCTGTCTACTCCTCTATGCAGACCAGCTTCTTCCTCTGTTCCTCTTAAACATGACTCTCTAGAATGCGAGCCCCATTAGGGAAATATTTCAGTCTGTTTTATTCACTACTGTTTCCTAGTGCTTAGAACAATGGCTGATATACAGTAGAAAATAAATATGACTGGCTATGCTCAAATAATGCCCTCAGCCTTTTAAGTTACATGATCTAGAGTCCAGCATTCTTGAGTGAACCTGATTTGCCCAGCTTGGGTCAGAAATCAATCCCTTGTTCACTGGTTATGCTGTAACCAGTGGGAGAATATGGGTAGTTCAGGGACAATTCTTGGAGAAGGGGACATGAATAAGCAAATATCTCAGGTGTCCATTCCACCTGATATATAAGACCCCTTCATGATCTGGTCCACTTCTCATTACATGATGCAAGTATAATACAGTGGTTAAAATAGCATGCTTTACAGCCAGGGAGGTCTGAATTCAAACCTTTGGGCAAGTTACTTAACCACTCTGAATCTTCATTTCCCCATATGTAAAATGGTAATAGTTACCTTATAGGATTTTTGAAGAATTAAGATAATATATGTAAAGAGTGTCTGGCACATAGTAAACCCCCAATAAGTAGTATCCATTTCTACCAGGAAATTTAAGTCTGGTGTCTACCACACCCTTCCGTGCCCTTAGGCAAATTCTGTATCACATTTATTTTAATTTCAATTTTAGTTGATCATGTTAGAGGTGCACACTTAGCCCAAAGTAGCCAAGGCCATTGCTGGTCAGTGACCCACGACTGCCTAATGTGAAACTGCCTTATGTGAACTAGTAACCAGGCGAGAATTCCTCTCTCACATATTTAAAACAAGAAATAGCAAGAGAATGAAATGATTAAGCTGGGAGAACAGTCTCAAAAGAATGAGAAGCTGCTTTGGTCTTGAGGGGTCCACATACAAGCTAAAATCCTAACAAAGAAGAAATTCTGACTAAAATAAGGAAGCCAGGTGATATGGGGACTCAAAAGCAGGCCCTTTAATTCCTGACGCCATCTCCTTGGGTACAGATTCTTTCTCCTCCAGGTCTGATTTCAGTATGGCATGGCCCTTTCCCAAAATTGTGATCCTTGCCAGCACCCCAAAGTCATGGACAATTAGGATAAAATGAGAATGGCCTACTCCATGATGCCACTAAATTACAGAATCTTGCAAATATGGACTTTCATGGAAGATACAGCCATTAAAAAAGGGCAGGCTGGACTCACACTTGTAATCCTAGTTATCTTACCATTTTTGGAGACCAAGGCAGGAGGACGGCTTGAGGCCAGGAGTTTGAGGCCAGTCTGAATAACATAGTGAGACACTGTCTCTACAAAAAATTTTGAAAAATTGGCCAGGCACGGTGGCCCATGCCTGTAGTGCCAGCAACTAGGGAGGCTGAGGCAGGAGGACTATTTCAGCCCAGGAGTTTAAGGTTGCAGTGAGCTATGATGATGCCACTGCACTCTGGGCCCTATCTCACAAAACAAACAAACAAACAAACAAAAAACTGGGCAGTCACGTGGGCACAATAATCACTACGATATGAGGGGCAGCCAAATATTCCAAAACCTTTGTCTTTGAAAACTCACTAGAAACTCATGGAGGCTCTTTAGATTTTATATTACAGATGTTCCCTGGGTTGTACAAAATTGGACTTAAGGCCGGGCGCGGTGGCTCACGCCTGTAATCCTAGCTCTCTGGGAGGCCGAGGCGGGCGGATACAACAGATATGTAAAGGATAGTTGTTTCCTTGATAAGTCATTCTTCTGATAAACAGAGGACTATTTAGAGAGTATTATTATTGTCATCTGGGAATCTATCAACATTTCTTTTCCATTGCACTGTTCAGAAACCAGAGGTAGACCGTTTTTATAGTCAGTAGTTAATATCTTAAACCACCTTTCCTCCACTACATTTATTTCATTCTTTTGTTTAACTCACAGGTGGAAACTTCATCAAAATCTTACATGAAGTAGATAAGGCCCTTGCTAATGACCTGGAGGAAAGCTTCCCAAGTTTGAAGGTTCATACTTAAAAACCGAATTGGAATTCCTTCTGTACCAGAAATAAATTTTATTTTCCTCATCGACTATTGAAATTGACATACAGGAAATAGTAGGTGAAGTTCATATTAGACCATAGTGTCTGGTATTACACTTGTGCCCTTATTCACTTTTATTTGGTATTGGAATCTGGAGTTTCACCACTATCACCCCCTCCCCTTTATATTGATTATGTGGTATTAATCATTTTCAGTTGAAGAAAGCAAAAACACAAGCTTATTGAGGATCTTTTTAGGATATTGAAAGTTGATGAGGCAAGGAGAAGGAAGTGGGTTACAGGAGTAGATGAAACAAGACTGGATGTGAATTGTAGTTGCTGAAAGTGAGTGATGATTATGTGGGGATCCTTTATACTTGTTCCCTCTATTTTTATATATGTTTAGAGTTCCTTTAAAGCTTTTTAAAACAAGTAAATCATACTTAATGTAAGCCTGAATTTAATTGTGAATGATGCTTATTCCTTACTCATTGGTTATTCCAACCTACTACCTGGGCCAATACCCAGAGGACCAGGCCAGACTTAAACCAGCAACTAAGTGAGATGAAACCAAAGTGAGACTGGAAGCAAAAGGTCACCTGTGGATGCTTGCTAGCCTTCCACTCTCCCCACATGGTATTTGTTCATCAACTTAACTGCTTTGTATTTTGCATACAATGCAGTCTTTTGCATTGCTAAAAATTTTATGATGCATCTTAGATAATTTCCATAAAGTAAAATTTGCTTAAGTCCCAATTTTGTTTTTTGTTTTTTTTGTTTTTGAGACAGAGTCTTGCTTTGTTGTCCAGAGTGAGTGCCGTGGCGTCAGCCTAGCTCACAGCAACCTCAAACTCCTGGGCTCGAGCAATCCTTCTGCCTCAGCCTCCCGAGTAGCTGGGACTACAGGCATGCGCCACCATGCCCGGCTAATTTTTTTATATACATATCAGTTGGCCAATTAATTTCTTTCTATTTATAGTAGAGACGGGGTCTCGCTCTTGCTCAGGCTGGTTTGAACTCCTGACCTTGAGCAGTCCG